CACCTCGGAAGAATGGAAGGCTGAGTCAACCTTGAGCCGGTGAGATTTGAACCGCTGAACTTCAGATCACAGTCAGCTAAAGTGGCCTGCAGTACTGCACCCTAACCACTGTGCCACCTCGGCTCCTAAAAAGTAATATGCTTCATGTGGGTCTTTTGGAGGAAGTAGAAAGAAAAAGGTGTATCTGGTTTATGATCAAGATGTTGCCCATTATATGGACCAAAGTTAATTTTCTTCCCACAATATAGAGTTGGTTTTATTTGAGTGATTTACTGCATTGGTTAGATTTATGACAATCTAAATCTAACTGAAAGGAACTAGGGCAACCTAGAATGTAATGTAAAAATATCACCAGGACACCTTTTCAGTATTTATTAAGGGCTGTGTTGCATCTGATTACTTTGGAAAAGTAATTCCTGTTTGGAACGTTGATTAACTGACCGGAGGCAGCATTTGAACTTGAAATCCACCCTTATTTTTCCTATTGCTTTTTTCACATCCAAACATCGGACAATTTAGGTGTGGGGGTGGGAGGGAAGCTTGGTCGAACCACATTCTCAGGAAAAGACTTGAATTACTGCTCTGGTTCTGTTTCAGTATTGTAAAAAGTGTTGAAACTTAGACAGTATTGAACTCTCTGTCTTAATGCTTGAATTTTATAATATATGTCCTGCGGAGGAAAATGTGTAAACCGTTCTATACACTTCTCCTGTTGAAAAGCTTGATTCGGGCTAGTCTTTCACTACAGTTTGATTTTGTTCTTTGTATAGATGATGTACAGGAATGAAAAAAATCCTAAATTTAGAGAACACTTTTTTTAAATTATTAAACAGCCCTAAGCATCAATGTCTCTGGGTTGCTCGTCGAATTTTTTCAAAGATGCAGCCAATATTTTACTGTAATTTATGTTATTATATTTATGTATATTTGTTAAAACTATAAAAAAAATGAAATATATTTGTGGTTAGTTGATTCCTACTGCATGTAAAGGATAGGGATATCTAACTCATCTTTTATCCAAATGTAAACATATTGTATATAGAGAAAAAGTACACACAAACACACATATATATGTATGTATAAAATAGGAGATTGTTCTATGCATTCTGCCCTTTATGCTAATCCTCCAACTAATGGCAGAGGGAAGTTTTATTGCGAACTCAAATAAATGTACACCTAATTTAAAGATAGTTCAAGTATATCTATGGTTAGGAGAGAGAAGTTTGGACATACCATAATTGACGGTGAAAGAAGAAATTGTGTGTAAGAGCTTTGAAACGAAAGTATTCTTGCTATAAAAAAAAAGAAACATTCTTTTAAAATATACACTACATTGATTCTTGCACACCTGAACAGGATGATTTCTAAAATGTAACAGCAGAGGATATTATTTTAAATTATTGAATGTATTATGAATTTCGTCTACATTTCAGAAAAAAAACATTCTGTGCAATGTCTAAAAGTAGAATGTGAATATTACAAATAAAAGTCAAGACCCCTGAGATTAAAATTTTACTATACAGTATAATAGGAAAGTAATGACAGGGTTGAGGCTGCTGATGGTTTTTTTAATTTTTTAAGGTTGGACATTTTCTACTAACCATTTCTCTTCATTTGATATCCTATTTGAGAAAAGGAAAGTTTTTGTGAAGAAGCCCTGTGTTTTACCAGTGATAATACATGTGTGCCGGTTCTTTATAAGAAAGGTATTGTTTTTATTGTTTATATGACAGAATTTGCCAAACGTCCTAATTTGGAGGTCAGGTATTTAAAGTCTGACAGTCATGATGGCTACTGAAATTATATGGGAGAGGGGAAATGACTGTTGGGGTATGTTTTTAATTATTTGGCTGTTTAAAGCCAATTTCTGCTTATTTATAATTTAATGGGCACCGTCCGTTGAGAACTGTACAGTGTCTGTATGCTTCCTTGTCCACTTTTTTGGAGCATTGCTACTCCATTCTCTTTTTCAAACGCTGTGCTGTAAAATACTGTCGTATAGCTGCTTACTTAGTACAATGTAGTTCTTCTCTTCCATCTAAATAAAAAGCATGGCACCAAAATCCTAGCAGAGATGTTATTTTTTTATATACAATTTCAATTTAGATTATGTAGCTCTATAAGACATTATACTGCTAGTTTTACCATAGTTAATACTTGTTTTGTCCTTCTATCTGTGGTTAGGCAATATCCCTCAAATAGACAGATTTTTACAACAGAATTATCAACTACTTTAACTCAGGGGTGTCACACTGGCAGCCCGCAGGCTGGATGCGTCACACACACAGACCACGCCCACCCCAGCTCCGCGACTGGGGAAAAAATGTCGCGAAGCATCACATGACAGCAATGTGACGTGGCAATTTTGACACCCGTCAAATACACCAAAAACCTTTTATCTAATGGGCCATTTGGGGGAGGAGTATCCATTAAACCCAAATGTCAGTTAAATCCAAAAGATATCTTTTCCCGCGTATACAAAGTCTATCTGTCATTTTCCTAACGCATAAAAACTGCAACAGGCCACTCAGGTTTTTTCAAGCTTGGGGATCATGCGCTGTAACAGCCATCTTGCGATAGTCCTCCTGGAACAGCCCTGTCTTGTAGCTACCTGTAGCTACCTACAGGTAGCTACAGGTAGCTACAACAGTCCCAATCCACTTCGAGCCTAAGAGAGTAGAAACCACAAAGTGCCCCTTTACTTTTTCCCAGACTCCCCAAACTGTCCACCATGACGGTTGCGTGGGTCAGATCACACCATATCCCATTTCCCTGTCGAAGGATAATCGTGGCAACTGGACCAAAGTTTATTAAACTGAGACATTTCGTTACTCATTCAACTAACTTATTCAGTCAAATGATTTTTTTGGGGGGGGGGATAGACATAGAGTCATAGAACCGTTGGAGTGAACTAACTCTTAACAGGGAGTTCTCCCCAAAATGAAATGCGAGGTGCAAATGCAGACTCAAATCATCCAGTCCCAAAGCATATAAAAAAGTTAAATCGTGGCAATTTCCCTCAGGGCCTTTCCAGCAATCTTCTCAGTGCTACCGCCAGTCTTCCCATCAGCCGACCTACCCGCCTTAACCTCTCAAGCAACTTCCCAAAAACATTAAACCTTGTTTTAACTCACTTATTTCGAAGAATGTCCACACTCAAATTTTGTCTGTTGCATCCCACGACTGTCAAAAGGTTTTAGTGTCAATCCATTTATGTATTTTGGCAACTTTTAAGGTGTGTGAACCTCAACTCCCAGAATTCCCCTGCCAGCATCTGTCCATATCTGCCCTTCATAACGTTGGCAAGTTTGAAAAACATTTGAACTAGACTCATATTGTGGTTATAACTATAACTGTGTCAGCATTTCTGACTGATGTAAAATATTTATAAATTGGGCTCAGTTACAGGTAATCTTCAACTTACAATCGTTGGTTTAGTGCAGGGGTAGTCAACCTTTTTATACTTACCTCCCACTTTTGTATCTCTGTTAGTAGTAAAATTTTCTAACCGCCCACCGATTCCACAGAAATGGTGATTTATAAAGTAGGGAAGTAACTTTACTTTATAAAATTTATAAAGCAGAGTTACAGCAAACCCCTACCGCCCACCATGAAAGCTGGCGTGACCCATCAAAACCGCGGTCCACTAAAGCGCGCCTGATTAAAGCGCGTACCTGATGTCATCAGCAGAAAGCGCTTTTAAAGCAAGCCGATTCACATAAAGGTAAGGGTTAGGGTTAGGGTTAGG